AAGAATTCCAAGAACAGAACGTGGTGAAAGCCCTGCTTATTTTATGGAAAAACTTGTTTGGGCTCTGTGTGGTTCTGTGTTTGTGTGGCATGGGTGGCTAGGGCAAAATACTGCATTTTACTAAGCTTTTTTCATACGTGCAATAGCTGCAATAGCTGCTGGTGGGTAGTTGCTTACAGCTAAGTCCTTTAGAAGGTGGTACTTTTTCTGCTAACATGAACTCATGACAGGGCATAATATTTTTATAACATTACATCAGGTGTTTAAAATTTCAAGATTGAATCACTTGAGTGGAACTAGGAGAGTGAAAATGTAATCTGCAGTGCCATCTGCTGGATCCTTTAGGAAATAGGCATTTTATAGGAATTTAAGACGGCAAAAACCAGTCTGTGAAAAAAAGTGACGTTCTTGGATCTTGATTTTAATATCTGCCTAGTGGAGATGATTGCAGGATATAAATATTCATCTTGGTCCAGCTCCGAAGAGCTCAACAACATAAATGGCAAATTCTGTGTGGCTCAATAGGACACTTTCTGATCAGTCAATATTATAGATGGTCTCAGTGTCCATTGTTTGTCCTCCTAATGGTATCAGAAAGCTCTTTGAAAGGTTTATGTTAGGCAAGATACATATCTCATAAGCTTTCTCCAAGACTTACAGTTTGTGGTAAGTATATGAAGGCATGTGTAAAGCTTTACAGAATTGCCTGTCTAATTTTTTGACTAGTTCACACTGTAAAAGTAAAATAATGAATGTTCAAATGAAATTATGGCACATGTATGACACATAGCTAAAGCAGGTTTTTTGTGAAATACCTTTAGAAAAAAAGGGAGGAGGAACCCACCATGTTGTATTGGGGAAAACGTGCTAGAAACCTCAACATATGTTGAGTTATATGTGTGTTGTTAAAAGTGAATGGGTTAAGTTTTTCACTGTACATGGGAAAATTGTATATTGGTTTTTGTCTTGCACTAGAAGTGGTGATGCCTCTCATGCATGTGTGGCAGAGTCCTGAGGCTGATGTGCCTCTCCAAGTAGCTCAGTCTCTTCTAGAAATTTAACAACAGATTTTGTTTTAGTCATGTCATGATCATGTGTGGTCCTGAGGCTGATGTGCCTCTCCAAGTGGCTCACTCTTTTCCACAATTTAAGCAACAGATTTTGTTTTAGTGACATGATGGGTTTTTTTGACCATACATGCATGATGATTCACGTGTGAATGTGAAGTAGCAGGCACCTGCCCCTAGCCAAGCTGGATTATGTGGATGCAGCTGTTCTGTTAAGAGTGGTACAAGGTGTGTCCTGAGGCTGATGTGCCTCTCCAAGTGGCTCACTCTTTTCCACAATTTAAGCAACAGATTTTGTTTTAGTGACATGATGGGTTTTTTTGACCATACATGCATGATGATTCACGTGTGAATGTGAAGTAGCAGGCACCTGCCCCTAGCCAAGCTGGATTATGTGGATGCAGCTGTTCTGTTAAGAGTGGTACAAGGTGTGGACACGTGAAGTATGGCAATAATTTCATTGGAGTAAGCTTATCCTTCAAGTGCCATTGACCTCAGTAGTGCAACTAGATAAATTTTGGGATGCATGATGAAAACTCATATGGATATATGTGTATATTCCTTTTACATAGTCGCCTGGTTGCTCTTTCTGTCAGAGAGGATTGAATTGCTGTCTGCCTCCAGGGTCTGCCAAACCATTACATCACATGCTGTTATTAAGTCTTTAGCCTAACCTTTAGGTGCTTGTCTACATTAAAGAGTATTTAATAGACTTAAATTTTCCTTGGATCTCGTGAAAATGTGTTTTATAGCCTGGAACTGAAGGAGCAAATTTGTATTTTAGTTCTCGCTTAATTTTTAATGTACTTCTGTATAAGACAAAACTGTTGAGAGGGAGTTACTGCTGATATTATAGAATAGCCAGAGATACAGAGATCCAGCTTTTCCTCAAAAAGGTAGGAAAGGTGAATAAAACCTTTCAAAAGAACTACTTGAATCAGATCTGCCATGAGCTAGGTAAGGTTCTGTTCTGTGAATTCTGCAGTCATTTTCCCCAATTCCGTTCTCACTGTAGAGAAAATGTTAGAGTTTCCCCAGTAGTGTTGTGTATTACATGCAAGATAAGCAAGATAAGGTTTTTGAACCCCTCATGGTGAAATGGGTCTTACAGTGGTGCAGAAATTAACAAACCTATAAATAAGTGATACTGATTTCTAAAGAACTGAAAGCTCATCTCACTTAAGTTTTGCCTAGTTGCTAGTCCATTTCATCTACCCCTTGGTGTACACAGAAGGGAAAAACATCAATATATTAGTACATTTCCTAAGCTTCATATGAGACTGAAAATATTCTAATGTAGACAGTCTAATTGGAAAAGAACAGGAAGAGGGGCAGTGCTTGCTGTTATCTTCCCTTTCCACATTAGCAAACAGCCAGGGCTTTTGGTTTTGTTGTACTGGAGGAGAACTGAATTTAGTTTCCATGGTTCCATTTTTTAATAGAATATTTAATGTAATAAGAAATTTACCTACAGACCTCTCCATTATTTAATTGCATCCTTTAAGCTGGTTATTATACAAATTCCTGAATGTCTTTAGTTGTTTTCATGCATTATAAGTGAGCAGCTGTGTAAGATAAGTTAATTCATATGTGTAATCCAATAATATGGCCAAAAGTATTAGGTTTCTCCAGTATTTAGCCTAATTCTTTGACCTACTTTTCTCATCTTACTCAATACTGCAAAGGTTTCTTTAAGCAGGTTAGTAAAAAATAAAAATAAAGCAAAAAAACCCCAACCCTTTTGCTATTCCTGCCAAGTTTTTTATTAGCATAAAACATTAAGTATAATGCATCATGTTTGTAGTGAAGGAGAATAGATTATTTGGCTGCTTAGCTTTTGCTGTTGCTGCATCCTCTCTAGAATGTGCCCATGTCAAGTCAGTGTTTTCGGTGTGAAATCTGGGTGATTTATGTGGTTATAAGTAGTTCTTGTCCCATTGGATTACGTGTATTTTACCATGATTCCTGTTAGTTAAGTTGAATTATCATTTTTCTAGGCTTGACTATCATGTTAAAATAAAAAAATCCACTTCACCAAAACAACATTTCATAAAATCATAGAATGTAAAGGGTTGGAAAGAACCTTGAAGGTCATCTAGTCCTAACCCCCTTTGTATTTCATACAAAGAGCATTGATTACCTACATCTTAAAATTCAAAATAAGTTCAGCACACACACAGACTAAGCCCACAGAAACATGAAATTGTGTCACTAGAAGTACATTGGTTAAATGATGTGAGTCTCAGTGGTAATTAAGGAAGTAGATACCTCAAAGCAGGTAGTGGAGATAAAGGGTAATGCCAAGACCTCTATAGACAACACACTGTTACCATTTATTAAACCCACAATTCCCTGTTCCTGTCAATAATCTATGTAGCTGTTCATAACTTTTTTAATGTTAGACATGGAGATAGAGATTTGAAGTAACAGCTGGAAACACGGGTGAAAAACCTGGGGTCCACACAGCATGGTGAAAAGTCCAAGTTGTTCCATTTGCCCTGCTGGACTCTCCTGCTTAGGCTGTCTGAGGTCTTTGTTCAAGCTCATGACAATAAAGGTCAGGAGTTGTGGTGCTGTCCTGGAACACATACAGAAATATTTCTTTCTTGTATGATTTGATGACTAATAGGACAGCTAACAGCTGAAGTATGATCCTTTTAAATTAAGCGTCAAGGTGGAGTAAATTAAGCTTCATGTCAGCTGAGCTTGTTGCTGCTTTAAAAAAGGTGTTCCTGCCCTTTACTCAGCCCTTTCATTTCTGGCTTCAGGAGCTCATGTCCTATGGTCCTCCCAGGTCTCCAGATTCCTGCTCAGAGCAATTCGGGAAGCAAAATGATAGGATTATTTTTTTTTTCTTGGTGGGGGAATGAATTTTCTATTGGTTCAGGTTCCTTGGTTAGCTCACTGAGGGAGATCTGGTGAACATTGAAACGCTGCCTAAGGAGCAGTAACAGTATGCAGCCAGGATCAGAAGAGGAGCTGGATTGCTCCTTTTGGAAATGCCTGGACCTTTAGTTGGTTTCCCTATGAAACTCATCTTTGCCAGGAAAATCTCATAGAAACAAACAGGTAAACATTTTTTCCTCAGAGATAATATAATAATGACAAAAGAGGTTTTATCCCTAAGAGTTTAATTATTATTATTTTTCCTGAATTACAGAAGAAGTGAAGGCTAGAGGACTGAGTTCTCTTCCCTGAGCTGGTGGTTCCAAGCTGGGTCTTTTGGGTATGTGATGGGCATAGTGTCAGGGCATCTGTTATTTGGGGCAGTGGGAGGAAAAGTGCTGCTACTTTGATCCCCAGTCTTCATCTTAGGAACCTGTTAATACTTCTGTACACTCCTACAGATAAGCTGGAAGAAATGTCTGTAATGAGGGATAGCAAACCTTAAGTAGTCTCTCATCTCTAACAAGAAAGAACACAACAGATTGTTAATATATAGATTTGAAACAAAAAAAATGTTTGCAGATTCTTGTAGGGCCAGTGTGATAGTGGAGTGTGTTTTGAAATATTTACATTATATGCGTTAGTAACTTAGATTTTGAAAACAAGTGTGACACTGTATGTGAAGATTGTATTTTTACACCTGCTGTATAAATAAAGTTGATTAAAAGGCAATGTGAATTTGCTCAATTATTTCTTTTATTCTGTACGCAGTAGATAATTCTGTTTAATACTATGCATTTGGATCGAATTCTTGTCAAGTGAAATGATTTGCTTATGAGCTTTGAAGTAAACCTATAGGAATAAATGTCTAATTTTTTCCTTTAGATTCTCCTATACAATCTAGGAAGTGTGTATTTGCCATGAGGTGCATTTATATTGTGAACATGCCAAGAGTATTAGGTGGAATTATAAACTGAAAGAATAAATACATAGCAGTAGAATTTCCTCCTATTCTTGCTATATAAACTTTTTTTCTCATCTATGCAGGAGGTTGCATCAACAATTTGAAAGCTATAAAGAGCAAGTAAGAAAGATAGGGGAAGAAGCTCGTCGTTACCAGGGAGAGCACAAGGATGATGCTCCAACATGTGGAATCTGTCATAAAACAAAGTTTGCAGATGGTTGTGGCCATTTATGCTCTTATTGCCGGACCAAGTTTTGTGCTCGATGTGGAGGTCGTGTCTCTCTGCGATCAAACAATGTAAGTCTTCTGATGCATCCTCTTAAGAAAGTGTCTTTGACATTGTCATGCTGCAGATTGTTCCCCTTAAGTTTAGCATTTCATGCTTCGTTTTACTTAAGTGTTTCATCCTTTGCTTCGCTATGAGGTGTGCATAAAGTGAGATAATGTATTTGATGACTGTGGAGATACTTGGGATCACAGACTTAATGAAAGCAATAAAGAACTTTAATGTGTAGTTCTACTGAGTGATGGCTTGAAGAAAACATACATGTTTTTCATAGAATGAAAGAAGAAACCCTTTTGCTCAGGTACAATTCCACATTCTTAATTTTTTTATTAAACTCTTTTTTAAATTTTAGATGTCTTTAGCTTTTCAGATGCATCTATAGATTTCTCTTACATGAAATCAGCCAATTTTTTGGTTAGGAAAAAAAAACCCAAACACATTTCTTAGCATAGTGAAAGTGTTAATTACATTAATTTAACATTTATTTTAAAAATAAAATGATAGATTAATCTGGATTATTTAACCTACTTTCCTGTAGGTGAGCTAAATCTTTCTCCCTCTGATCTGCATGCAGTCACCTGCAGCTGCTGTCCACAAAATTCAAGGTATCTGAGAATACTTTCTGTTCAGTCAGTCCCTTACAAGGCTCTGGCTACTGACTTGTACATGAGCAGTAGGATCTAAATTTGGAAGACCATTATCCAGTGATAATTTTTGGCTGACCATCTAGGACTATGGCATGTTATAAAATATTTTACACATATCCTTTCATTACATGAATAATTTTGTCATCTGTCACTAGGTAAGTTTCTCACATGGCTTTAAGACACCAGTCTGTTGTAGGGGAAAATTATCAATGCAGTTGGTATCCACACAAATTCAGTTCAAAGTGAACACTAATTTTATAGCAGATAATCATGTTCACAAGGACTCTAGTTCATGGCCTTTGCACTTTGAGCTAAATATCAGCTGAATAGGCCTTCTGAAATTTCGTGTAAACCAAAAATAACTCCACAAAAATGCATTTGTTGTTTATTTTAGAAGCTTTCCATAGTCTTAATGTACTTTTGAGCCCATTAAATTAAATTCTTATTCTGGGAAAAAACCCTATACAGACGAATTGGACAAAATTTGCATACATGAATATTTTAGTATCAGTAGCTGCATTACACTGCATCACCTGCAGGTGGTGTCATCAGAGCAAGTCTGTGAAAATCTGATTTACTTTGATGTGTTATGATATTCATGAGAGTGCATGTGATACAGCTTATCTTTACTTAGAAAACAAATTAAATAGACTTTAATTACTTTTCACCCACTGTTTTAAGTCACAGAGACAGAAGAATGTCCATTCATTTGTAACTTGCCTTTTGTTTCTTATATTGTTTATGCTTCTGTGGGTCAGGGTGGGAAAAGAAGTTTTCAACTTATGCAATAATGTCATCTTTTTATTTAAAGCTCCTTTTATTTTTTTAAAATTTTGTTTTTACCTCTTCATAGAGAGTTATTAGAATTGCATTTCTTTGAAATCTGTCTATTAATACTTGCCTATTTTATTCTTTTTCTCTTTTTTTTTTCTTTTCTCTTTTTATTCTGCTTCCTTGGATGCTTTCCCAAAGGAGGACAAAGTGGTTAGAATCCATGCTTTTTATCATTTATTATAATAATGTTGTTAGTTAACTGGGATACATATTAATGTGAAAAACTGAACTGAAATTTTAAAATCATCCACAGGGGTGGGGGGAAGAACAGGAATCCGAACACCCAGGCCCTGCCCATCCCTTAGCTGAACATAGGCTTTGAAGATAGCTCAGCAAGGAAACCCAAGACTGTTGTCAAAATTATGGCAATAAAAGAAATTCAGAACTATTTACAGGCTAAGTAGTAGAGAAGGCAACAAAGTGTAATAAAGTTTTACTTTGTAAAGATATCTTCAGTTAATGATTTTGACTTTTACGTGTAAGATCCTTCCATCAGCTCCAGGAAATCTAATTTAGTATTTTGATTGTAGTTTTACATTGTTTTACGTGGTTTGTAGTGTTTCACTTGTGGCTGCAGCAAAAATTTGGGGAATTCTTGTGAAATCAGTTGTTTGATTTACATTTGGAATGATATGCAGAAGCAAAGTATAACCTCTTCAAACTGGACATAAGTCTAGTGAGCAAGGTGGAGTGAATTCTTTTTGAATGCATAGGTATCATTCAAAAATCTGCAGAACTTTTAGGATTGAGTACAGGCATACACTAATGCCTGTGCTTTATCTGACATAGGTCAAGGCAATTCCTGTTCATCTCTGCACCCTGTGCATGGCAGAAGGAGTGGCAGTATTTGAGCAGAACAGTGCATGTCCATTTACCACCTCTTCTCAGGCAGCTCTGCAAAAAGTGGTATTCCAGATTTTCACTCAGAGAATTAAGTAGTAGGAATTAGCCACTTTGCTGGCACCAGCTGAAACAAGTGTAGATTTATTATAGTCAAATATAGTTTTTGAGGCATGGATGATGGAGTTATGCTCGTATTATGGAGTGGTGTTAGGTCCAATTTACATCATAGCATAGCTGTAACCTGAAATTTAGTACTGCACATCACCTGGAGAAAATTATTTCTATCACACCTGTGTATTGCAATAGGATTTTTCTATGGCAGTAGTGTTCTGAGAGCACGATTGTTTTTCTAGTGGCTATGAAATATAACTTGCTGCAGCTTCATTCTGCTGTTTTCTGTGTGGTACTCTGAATAAAGCACTGAAATAATCCAGGACTGCCAGATCATTTCAATTCTGTAAATCTAAATTGCTTAGGATAGAGTAGGAGAATTTTTAGCTTGATACTGGTTTCTTATTAAAGCAGTGCATCATTGATGCATCCACTGGGGTGTATTAAAACACTAGTGCACTTGCAACAGAGTCTTCTTTAGGGCCAGAAACAGCCTAAAGTGCTGAAAGTGCCACTTAGGTACAATTTAGCCACCTAGGTTTTGGGGAGCAATTCAGGTGCACCTCACCTGACCTCCTCATATGCTTGAGGCATCCTTCACACATCCTTTTGTTTGGAACAAAAACTTTGCTATATAACTGAAATTGTGATAGTGTCTGCATGCAGGAGAGATTGTGTCTGATGAGGGGCCAGGTTAGATCTTCATCTTCGAAAAATGTCATTTGGGATCCAGGAAAGAGATTCTACTGCACTAAAGTGCTCTGATTATGTATTCTGAAGACATACCTGACCCATTTGGATTGTTCTAAGTCAGTTAACTACATCCTTATTATTTGCACTTGTTTTGATTTAGGCTTTGCTGTGTTGACCTCCAAGCTTACGTATGCTAAGGAAACGCCCTCGTAATATGTGTGAAAATATCTTCTATACACTGAGCTACATCTCTTAACAGCTGAAAAGTTAATGGGAATCAGAGGGAGAGTATCCAATAATTAGTCCCGATTTTGTGGGGAACATGGGGACCTCTTCTATAAAGTACCATTGCTTTAGCAGCACCTGTCTCTGAAAGCTAATGGAATATACAGAATTTATTAATTCCAAAATATTAATGCATGCTTAGCAAATAGCATCTTTTATAAGGAGAACAATTGGTATAATTAACATAGAGCAACATGAGAAAAATATTATTTGTTAATTATTTTCAGGGGGTCAACATTCCTGACTAATTACATATTAGGGACAAACCATTCTTTATGTGGTGAGTTTTGTGTCAATAAAACTGTTTTAAACATATTTATCCTGGTTCTCTCCATGTGAGGTTTTACCACCATAAATTGTATCAATACTAAAACAGATGCACCAAGTTCCTGCAAGTTTGGGGTGCATCATTTGGAAAGGATGATGAGGTGTGAATTACCAAAGTGCCAAGCTCAAGAAAAGCCAAGTGTTATCTTAGATTCAAGGTATTTCCTTAGAGTGGGAGAATTGATGAGACCTCACCTGGGATGTTGTATACCATGTGCTACCCATCTTTGGCAGACACAAACTGTGATTAGGCACAAAATCAAACAGCAGATAGCTGAGGAAATGGGGAGCTGTTCATGTGAGAGAAGGTTAGAGAGATTAGGGGGACAAAAGCTAAAGCTATTGTATTTGGTATCTAGAAATGCAGAGTTGAGATGCAGAAATGCAGCAATTTAAAACAATAACATTCAAATTAGGAGACACTGAATACATAAGACTGAATGGGTGAAACTTGGCTGTAAACATTCTTGGCTTGGAAAATGTTATTTGCAATTAGTAAAGCCTTGTGTTGACTGGGGTCTTGCATCTGTTGATCCATTAAAATTTGTAAGTTCTAGGAAAAGATGATATTAGCAACTTAAGAAATAATTTTGGTTTCATAAAGTGCAACAATTTAGAAATATTTCTCTTCACTTTTCTATAAAATATGTATTCATCTATGCCCCAAATTTCTGTAAGTAAAGAAGTGGGATTAGGATCTTGCATAAAAGAAAGTATTTTGAGTTAATTAGTTTCAACTGCAGATACATATTGAAAAGAAGAGTAAATGCAATAAGACTTGAAATCTGAGATTTTTTTTTTAATGTGGTGCACCTTAAGAAGAAAGAGGATAGTAAAGAAAGTACTAGGAGTGCAACACACAATTAAGAAGTCATGTGAACAGCATGGTTTCTGTTTGATATGCTCATATATCTTAATATGATCAACATGATCCTGTAAACTGTAACTTTATAGTAGATCCTGATCCTTGTCTATTCAGTGTCTGTAGTTTTGAAAATGAACAAGTATGACCTTATGGATTTAATATGATAATGAAAGCATATCCTGTGTAAGGTGAAAGGAAAAACCAATCAGTTTAAATCAGATCAAATTCTGATTAATCTTGATTAGTTAAAATATTTATATAATTTTAGAAAAGTAGGAGGAAAAATCAGCCACTTAAAAAAACTTGCTAAAATGATGTATTTACATGCATGAAATAAAATTTTCTTTGTACATCTTATTGCTTATACTTATTAATTCTGATAGACTGGAATGGCATTAACAGTATTTGATCACCCTTTTGCTTGTAATTGTGCCATCGAAAAGTTCTGCAGATAGCTGTAATAATGCTGCATACAATTAAAATCCTAATTTTAAATGGAGCATTTCTTCTTTAATGAGGGTTTTCTCCTCTAAGAGGAATGTTTTAGAAACAAATTATTATTGTTGACTCATTATTAACACTCTCATAAATACTAAGGCATATACTTATAAATATTTAAGGGTTATACAGTAAATATTTCAGGCTGATATCTTTTTCCAGACTTTTTGAGGAGCAGGGTTGGTTGGCTCCTGGTAGGACATCTGTGTAGATTGGTCTTCATAGATGATCATTTTCAAAGCAGAGTCACCCCAGGAGTCTGTTTATGGCTCCTCCAGTTTTTCATTACTTCATGTTTCCAGTAATGTTATAATCAGTAGAAAACAAAATCAACCTTAAATCTGTACAAAACCTGTATACAACAAGCTGCAGTTTCAATTGAGAGTTCACTATACTGATTTTGGAAGGTTAAGAGGTGGCTAATCCTGAGACTGTGACTGGTATGGCTAATCTTAATCTGTACATGTCTAGCTTCTCTGAAATCTGGCTTGCACATATTTATTATATCAATGCATTAGGGAATAAGTTCATTTCATTGGATAGATGTCGTAGAATCATCAAGGGTGGAGGAGACCTCTAAGATCATCTAGTCAAACCATTAACCTGCCATTGTACTGTAACCCCTAGACCCTAAACCATATCCTCCAGCATCAGATCCAGACACTTCTTAAACACTTCCAGGGATGGTGACTCCACCACCTCCCTGGGCAACCTATTCCAGTGCCTGAACACCGTAATAGAGAAAACATTTCTCCTAACTTCTAATCTGAATCACTCCTGTCTCACCTTATGATCATTTCCTCTAGTCCTCTCCCTGCAGCCATGGCAGGAGAGACATCTCCCACCTGTCTCCAACCCCTCTCAGGTAGTTGTAGAGAGCCATGAGGTCACCCCTGAGCCTCTTCTCAAAGCTAAGCAAACCCAATTCACTCAGCCCTTCCTCATACAACATGTGTTCTAGACCTTTTATGAGGCTCGTTGCCCTTGGCTGGACTCACTCCAGCACCTCAATAACCTTTAATTTCCATCTCTGAAATGAATGAAAAAGAAGAATGAGATCTGTGTGAGGGCAGGGGGAGTCTGGATATAACCTGCTTTTCCAATGGGCATCTGTATAGTGAGTCTGATCACTGGAAATGAAATAGTGTTGTGCAGTGTTTTGAAAATAGAAATTTAGTAGATGTGCCGTTACCCTGTTGACAAATGTAATGATGTGTGTCCTTGTGTTATGTCAGATGGTTAATAGACTTACTCAGCCTTTGCTCATGTCAGAAGGAGCCTATCAATCAAGGAGGCATCTGTCAGAGTCCTAGATACCATAATTTTGAGTCATTTCTTGACTGCTTCAGGTATCCAAAATGTGCACATCTGTTTCTGAATGGAGAACCAGATAATGATGTGCAATTTATTGGCAAACCAAGGGAGGTTGTTTTTGTGTTCTGTCATCCACAATTCAGTTGAGATGTGAAAAAATAATCTGTAAGTGTAAACTTGTATAGAGGGCTGAAGAGAAGGGATTACTTTACAG